CAGTCTAGCAATAACGCAATACATGGTATTGGTATTTTCAGTAGTGGTCACTTTCTGCAGGGAAAATTTCTCCATTTAGAAAAAAGTAATTTTTAAAAAAGTGATTTTGAGTGGTTTGTTATATTCATAAGGCTATTCATAAGTGTGATTTTAATATACTCAGGTGTCAAATATTTCCTCCCTCATAAGAAACAAGTCCTATTTTAAAACATAAGGCAAAGAGGAAATAAGAATCACGTAAAATAAATGGTTTCTTTGGCAAATTTTATTAGAAATAGTATTTTTTGAACCATAGTTATCATTGGGGAGATACTTCAGGCTTGGGCTTACACTTAGCTGGAACATTCTGGGGAAAGTTTTGATGAGGAGGTGAAACAGCGGTGCGATGGTCTAGATAAATTAGCTCAGCTGAACCTCAGAAGCTCGGAAGGTTCTCTCCTCACCCTTCCATAGTAGCAGCAGCAATAGAATGAAACTATGGTGTGGGCGCCTGGGTGGCTCAGTTGGTTAAGCGACTGCCTTCGGCTCAGGTCATGGTCCTGGAGTCCCTGGATCGAGTCCCGCATCGGGCTCCCTGCTCGGCAGGGAGCCTGCTTCTCCCTCTGACCCTCCCCCCTCTCATGTGCTCTCTGTCTCTCTCATTCTCTCTGTCTCAAATAAATAAATAAAATCTTTAAAAAAAAAAAAAAAGAATGAAACTATGGTGTGATTTACCTTAATTAGCATAGCAATTTACCTCACAGTTTCAAAAAGTGCTAATAGATAGATGTTAACTCAAAATTGATTAAAATACCAGACAAATTGCTACTACCTTGAAAAGAGTTGTAATAATTTTGAAAATGTAAATTATGATTATGCAGTCTTTGGAGAGAACCATAAAATCCAATTTTTCTTGTATTTTAAAAAAAAAACCTGTGGTACACACTTTTTTCCCTTTAATCACAGTAATTTCTTCAAATGACACCACTGCATATTTCTTAAGGAAGATAGGCTGCATTTTTCAAATCTCCTGTGTAATATAGGAGTTGCCATTGATAGTTTTCAGCAAGAGGAAAAGAAATTGAATACAGAAAACCAGGGATCATGGGGAAATTAAAAAAAATTCATCTATGTTCCTTTCTTATATTACACACATTTTATGAGTTGGAACAGAGAATGGTTCTTTTCATTCTAGCGAGTGGGGTTGTGCATGACAAAATGTCTACAGAAATGTTATGTAGGCGTAACGATTTAAAATGATTTGGACCCTCCTGGTGTCTAACACCGAACTCTTTCTCTGAGGCACCAAAGTGCTTATAGATTCTATACAAAGAGGTGAGCATAATTTGTACTTCTGAGGAGTAAATGAAAATAACTTTAGTATACAGTTTGTCACACCATATCGCCAGGAGACACTATAAGTAAAAGATAGAACCTTCCCTAGTGGGAACACATGTATTTCCCCTGAATAGCTTCTACCCAACAAAGCTCTAAAATGGAATATTTGCATTTTCCCCTCTGCTCTGTTTTCTAGAATTTACAGAGCCAGTTAGCAAAAAGATTGCTTAGAAGACATATTATAGCCTCAGAGGATTACTTGTTCTGTTTTTCATACAGCTATATGAAGCCAAGTTACTGTCTATTCTTGCTCAGAACCTGTGAAAGCCAGAGAGCTAATATACTCTATATTCTCAGCTACAGGTAGACCTTACTTAATGCAACAGAAATAGGTAAATTGAATTTTGGTAAATCAAAGGACATATAGAAGACGTTGGGAGAGCTGAGAAAATAAATTAACCTGACCATGAAAGACTTTACCAAGTCAACAATTATCCACTCATTGATGTACTTCATAAATTTATCTTCAAATATCAAGTTTGCTTAAGGTGAATTGTATCTCTCTTCCTGTAAAAGTTATCACATAGAGATATTTTCTGTTTTTAAAAATTGAATCTCCAAAACAAATTGCCTGTCAGCCCTAGGTATAGGACTTTATACAGGCCCATGTGTAGATTAGAAAAGATGCAGCACAGAAGGCAGGCCCCATCTTTAGGGTGGGCTTAAATGTTTTATCTTCTCCATTCTTTTGTCATCGCTTTTCAGGTAGTTGTTCCTTGGATACCACATGGTTTGGACCACACTTTCTTCTCTTGCAATGCAATGTAGATTTTCTGGGTGTCTTCTCTGACCAAGTGACTTCAGTTCTTTCTTAGTGAGACCTGCATCCTTATGGGTTTGTTGATGGCAGGAGGGAGGAAGGTAACCTAACAGTGGAATGGGAAACATCAGGTAAAGAAAAGGGAGGATTTTCCAAAAGTAGATATTTACAACCTGCACTGTTTTATTAGGGAAAGTTCTAGACTCTCCCCTAGAGAACAATAAGATATAATAGACTCTGCTTGTATATGAAGTATGTTTTAAAGGTTACTTCTTGCCCTATGATTATTTTACTTTGAACATTACAACTAATGTTATCAGAGTTCATTTCTGAAATATCTCAGAAATTGAACAATATTGAGCATCGCTACAGAGAATTTATTGAGTGCCTGCTGTAATAATAAGAGCTACCATTTGGGGACCTTTTTAAGTCAGCCACAGTGTTAAGCATATCATTACACTTAATCCTTATAACAATCCTATGACTTAAGTACTTTTATTCTGTGCATACACTTGAGGAAACTAAGTCTTGAAGAAATAAAGTGAAACCAGGGTTCTAACCTGTTTCTGGTTGACTCTGAAGTCCATGGTATGAACCACAGTTGCCATGTTTCTTCTCTATGTTGTGCACAGCTTGATAGCCTTAAAGGTAAAAGGCAGTCCCCTGGTCCCCGGCTTCTGTTCAGGTGGAAGGCAAAGGCAGGTAAAGAGATGATTGCCACGTGAGAGCGCTTAAGTAAAAGAAAAACCATGCAGGGTGCCCGCCACAGGTGCACAGGGAAGGGGATACCTAACCCAACCTCTCTGGGAGACAGGATTGCTTAGGGAAGACTTCCTGAAGGAGGGAATTCCTGAGCCAACTAGGAATTCCCCAGTGAATCATTGGTCTTTGTGATTAGTATTTGAGTGTATGGCTTTGCCTTGCTTTGAGTTTCTATTTTTTATTCGTCATTTGGTATTTATTTTATCGTTCATTCACTAATCACAAGGCCTGACTTAGGGATACAAAAATGATCTTGGCTTTTGTGGATTGTACATTGGAGCAGGAGAAACAGACATTAAATGAAGCAATTATAAACTAACTTTATAAGTGCTAGGAAGGCAAAGTGGGCAATGTTAAAAGAATAAATAACCTGGAAGCCTTACCTAGCTTGGGGAGGGGAGCAAGGATAGGGCAGGCAGTGATTAAAGTTTCCTGGGGAATGACATTGAAGCTAAGAACTCAAGAATGACTAGCAAGTGGGCATAACAAAGGGGTTTTTAGGAGAAACTGGATTAAAAAGTATTCCAGGAAAGAGAATAGCATGTGCAGAGACCCTGAGGCCCGAAGAAACTTGGACAGTTTGATGATCTGAAATTAAGTCAGGTGACTGGAGTATCAACAATATGCTAGAGAGATAGGCAGGGCTAGATGGTGTATGACCTTCTAAGTGTACTGTTATAAGCTGCCTCAACTCAAGCAAGACTTAGAGCATAAATTTAAATTAAAAAATTAAAAATATTGCTTAAAAATCCTCTTAGGGCCCTCAGTTCATATTCTCAACTCTAATTTATGTATCAGTTTTTCCTTTTTATTTAAGATTATTTTCTTCTTGTTTTTGAAAACAATGTTATACACTGTATCTATATCACAAAAAAGAATTAACTACATGGTTTGGTTGAATTTGGAATGAAAGTTGATTTAAATACAAGCAAGTCTTGAATAGAGACGTATTCTGACAGATTAAGCATCATCAATGCAATGTTGAAATATCAATTCCCAATTAAAAAAAGGATTATATATAACATAGTTTTCCAAATCACCTAAAAAACATCATGTTATTTCAGAAAAGTGCAGATGACTGAATGTCATGGTCATCATACTTCTAAACAGGCTTTCAAAGCAAACAGCAAGGGTTTGATGTTGTTTTCGGTTTTTCCTGATGGTCCTGATATTTTTCGATAATGAACAGACATGGAGAGGGAGCACAAAATTGTGTATCATAAGCACCTTCTTCCAGACCCGCTTACTCAGTATAAATGAAATATTGATGTATTTGAAAATGCCCAAGTGTTCAATAAAGATTTTAAATAAAGCTACCTAAAAGTTGTGGTTCTTAGGTTAATCATTTATTTATCTAAAGGATGAAGGAAGCTGTCTACTTCTGTGATATGAACTGCAATCAGCTTAAAAATAATTGACAAATTAATCCCTTCACAGCACAGCAATTGTAAAGGTGTTAGTTTTAATTAGGCCTGTCTGATTGCCTTGTCTAATCAAGAATCAAGGTGGTATCTTTGATGGTTAAGGTCTGTCGGGGCCATCCCTGACCTGCCAGCCATGTATGTTTTAATTATTGATTCCTCACATTTCAGCCCTTTCCACAAAGGGACTGGAAGTTTGCAATACCTTAACATTTAAAGGAAAGAAAAATAAACATTTCCCCCAACACTTCTACCTAGGATCCTGTGGATCTTCTCTACCAGTCTACAGTTTTGTCCTAAAAAAGCTGTCAGGTCGATGATGAAGTCAAATGCACGTAAGAATGCTGTCTTACTGCTGCCTCTTCTCCCAAGCACTAGCTTTTCAATGGGCATTGTTAAGATCTCAGGAAGCCACTATCATTTAGGCTTCTAGAAAACACATTTGATTTCTTGATATGATACATACGTCTTTTTGAAAAATCCCCAAGGGTGAACGCCAGTACTTAGGAAATCAGGAAGGTCAGACAAAAAGGAACACGTGTCTTGTAAAACGCTTTCTCACGCTGCTGAGAAGGGACGCGGCGAGGGTTCCTGGTGCCACCATGAGCACGCCAGAGAACGTGGGCAGCGCGTGGTTTCAGTGGTGCCCATGCGTGACGGCGGCTCTTCTGTGGTTGCAGGTCAGCGAAGTCACGGTGGAGCAGCTGGTGCAGCAGTACCCCCACATCACCTTCAGCACCGTGCTGCAGGACTGCAAGAGGACCTTGGAGAGAGCCTATCAGATGGGCTGGACCCCCAGCATGTCTGCCGCCTCCTCCTAACACTCCTGCTCATGCCTACGGCCACTCGGGGCATTCAGCAGCGTGGAGAGGACCTGGAGATTTGGGGTCGGTGATCCCTTGGAAAGGTTTTAACTGTTCCATGTCTGTGGGTGTACCCCAGTGTGTATATTTGTGTCTTGTTTGCATACTGCATAGCCTAAGCGCAACTGCTATTTGTTCCCAGGTGAGCTGGGGTTTGTTTGTTTGTTTTTTTCCTTAAAAAGTAAAGATTTCGAAAGCCACAGACCCTTTAGTTTTTAAGTTCAAAGGCTTGTTTCTCTAAAGAAAAAAAAAATTTACTGTAAAACCAAAAAACTTTGGTCTATTATTTTGAGCTTCTAATGATTGCCTCTTGAAGATGCCCTGACAGAAAGGCATGTGCCTTCTCTTTTGATGGGATAGAATTGTGCACTTCTCCTGATGATGACCAGACCAGAAGTGATGTTGCACTAATTAGAAACCAGGAAACCAGTACTTTGCAAAATTTCAGGCACATACACACATCCAGGTTCTCACACCCCCTCCTATACGTGTACACGTGCATGTGTGCACAAACTCCAGGGCAGTTTCTTTCTAGATTGTTTTCTGACAGAGGGGCCTCCCTCCAGGTCACTGAGGGAACGTGTCATCCACTGTGGCTCTGCCTCAGTCTATCCACAGAGGGCTGACTTGCTATCTGTAGGTGAGGTAGGGACTAAAGGAAATAAAGCCTTCCGTGAAGTTTTTATATGGAGGCAACAATCTGAACTCCCCTGGCCAGCTCACAAAAGTTAATTGTTCATTATTCTGTAAATGTGTTCTGTTGAGTCCTGAATATTTTAGTTAAGTTTTATGTTAACATTGTATTAGCTTTTATTTCATGGGTAGTAACTGGTCCAGGTATATTTTAATGATATTTGGAGCTAACCTTAGCATTATCCACATTAAAGGCACCAGTGTAATTAATAGTAAGCAGTTATTAAAAAAAAACAACAACAACAAACCCTACAGATCATTTAATTATTTAGTTAATTTTGGTAATTATGAAAGTATATTCCTGAGATTTGGAGGTAGTCACATGAATAGAAGATTAATGAGTGAGATATAAGTAGACAATCTTTCTATTGATTTATCTTTTTTTTTTGCTTTGCTTTGGGCTTTAGAACAGGTGTTTTGGATATATGCATGTTATTTTTGAATAGCTCTTGTGCTATTACAAAGATCTATTGCTGGTTAATGTATGAGTTAAGAGGAAAAATGAGAAAATCTTTTCATTAAGATTCTGTTTACACTCGTCAGAAATAAGCATTTCTTTGTTTAAAGATTGCCAGCTTTCAGTTAAGACATATCTATCAGTAAATGAATATATGTTTTGATTTCACACATCTTTACAATTAATTCATAGTAGGGACTCAGGCTCAAGTAAACTTTCCTGTGTCTAGATTTATAATCAAGACAGCAGGGAGCCTTTTTAAGCTAAAGAGTGATTATCTTTCACAGTAGAACTAGATACAAAACCCTGCCTTGTGAGTTTACTATTTATTCTTCCCCAATGTGGACATAACTGTTTTTTTGGTCTTTAGCAGATATACTAAGGTTTGAGTTTCACTTTCGGTAAGTCCCAATATAGCTAAAATGATACTAGCTGTAAGAAACAAAATATAGCTTTACATTCAAATACCATTCACTTATTTATAATGACTCCTTTTTTGTAAACACTGTTTCCTTTGATCATGTCAACATGTTTCTGATGTGGCATGTTTTTTGCTTTTAATCCCAGTCAGTTAAGAAAATCTAGTTAGTAAGCACCAAGGGTATTTTTTCCATCACTAAATAGGTTACTAATTTAATTTGAACGGAATAAAATTTGTGTAAGGAAAAAAAACTTTATTATTAATAAAAAAGTTCTTCTTGCACATCAAGTGGTATCGGTTTCATATTCATTTCCCCACCACTGAAAAATATTTTAATTCACAATATTTTAACTGGTTTTTAATCCAAAACTAATTTATGACAGTGTGTATAGTAATAGTAACTTGAGTGAATAAACAAAAGTTTAATTTTTATATATGTCACACTATATTTTAAATAGTTAAAAAAGACAAAAGAAGGGAGAGCCATTGATATGGATGGTGCCATTTCAGTTCAAAGTTGTAATAATCTTTAGAGTGTTACAGTTTGGTTGTCAAACGGTTTCAGAAGTGTATAATTGATTTTTTTTTTAAATGTTGCATTTTTCGAATCTAAAATACAGCACTATAACATGCTTTAGCTTGGGGGTGGGGTGGGGTGGGGGACTTGCACTTATTCTTTAAGATGTTGACTAATCCAGAAAGCCTGATGCAACATAACCTGGAAAACTGCTTTGGTATATTTGTAGAAATCTGTAGAAATATCGTATCCAGCCTCAAAGCATTAATCTCAAAAAACAACCAGAAAAAAAAAAAAAAAATCACCTTGAGTGATCCTGTGATGGTTGTTGAATGTGTTCTCATTAGATGCTTTGAAATGAGGCTTAAAATGATTTCTGGGCAATATAGAATTTCTTGTTTTGCGTAGAATGTCATAAATATATGTGAACACGTTTAATGCAGGGCTTTTTATCTCTCCAAAATGTCAACAGTATTTTCAGAATAAAGACTATGAAATATATTGCTGTAGTGAAAAATTCTGGTCCTTTGTCTTTAATGTCTTTTTGAGTGGATAAAGGAAATTCACCCAGTTTGTAGTTTCTATATTTCCGTGAATCTTTTGACCTTGCAATGGGTTGCAATAAAAGAGAAACAAAACACTGTGTCTTTTGTTTTATTTTAGAGACAATAAATGGCCTCCCTGATGCTGGTTGGGTGTGATGCATGCATGGTCTATGTCCTTGTGTGTTTCACTACTGACTTTATGTAGGTTTGACTAACCAGAATAATAAACAAGCCTGGGTTTAGGAGGTTCTAATTTGGCCAGTGATTACTGAGACAGATTAAAACCTTAAACAAGGGATTTGTTTAAAATCCCATTCCCTAAGGACTCATTCATCTGCTTAGCCATTTATTCATTTTTTCAAAAGCAAATAAATAAATATATTGAGTAAAAAACATGTGCCGGGCACTGGTCATTTAGAGGTATATAAAACTCATTCCTATCCTCAAGTTTCCTGTAGCCAGCAAAGAGACATTCTTGAAAACTAGCGATAGCGGTGCAGTACAATAGGTGTAGTAATGGGCATAGTTAGAACACATAGGACACAGTAACAGCTTTGGGAAAGAAGAGCTTCTCAGAAGAGGGACTTTTAATGAGGGTTGAAGGAGTAGCAGGAATTTGCCAAACTTACTGTGGGGAAGGAAGGGAGAGCAACCTGGAAGATGGAAAAATATATGCAAAGTCATGAGGGAATGAGACAGCTAGGCAAGTTCAGGGTATTTGAGGCAACCAAGTCAAGCAGAAGAGTATGTGTTCTGTAGGGGCAGGGGGTAGAAAAAGCCTCGACAGAAAAATAAGGGCTAACCAGAAACTCTTCATCGACTACTAAAGAGACTAGACTTGTAGGAAAGATCATTTCCACTGGAAAAGTCTTGCCCGAAATTCTTTCAACAAGTAGAAATTTAAATGCAGAACTTCTATTTCTGTCTGTATGCTAGAATGGAGATCCTGGAAGATTTTCTGTTATGTAACATCTAAAACTTTTCAGTAAAATATTTTTGTTTGTTTTCCCAGTGTATTCTTTTTTCTTTATTTTTCTTTCTTTATTTTTATTATTATGTTATGTTAATCACCATACATTACATCATTGTTGGTGGGAATGCAAGCTGGTGCAGCCACTCTAGAAAACAGTATGGAGGTTCTTCAAAAAGTTGAAAATAGAGCTACCATACGATCCAGCAATTGCAGTACTGGGTATTTACCCCAAAGATACAAATGTAGGGATCCGAAGGGGTATGTCTACCCCAATGTTTATAGCAGCAATGTCCACAATAGCCAAACTGTAGAAAGAGCCAAGATGTCCATCGACAGATGAATGGATAAAGAAGATGTGGTGTATATATATATATATATATATATATATACAATGGAATATTATGCAGCCATCAAAAGGAATGAAATCTTGCCATTTGCAACGACGTGGATAGAACTGGAGAGTGTTATGCTGAGCGAAATAAGTCAATCAGAGAAAGACATGTATCATATGACCTCACTGATATGAGGAATTCTTAATCTCAGGAAACAAACTGAGGGTTGCTGGAGTGGTGGGGGGTGGGAGGGATGGGACGGCTGGGTGATAGACATTGGGGAGGGTGTGTGCTATGGTGAGCACTGTGAATTGAGTAAAATATTTTTAAGCCCTTTTAAATGACTAGCTGTGACCATAAGAAAGCAAAAGAAACCTCTTGTGACCAGGAACAGAGTAAGAACATCAATCTAGAGCAGGGGGTCAGCCAACTATGGCCCCAGGCCAAACATGGCCTGATGCATATTTTTGTAAATAAAGTTTTATTGGAATACAACTGCACGCCTTTGTTTATGTATTCTCTGTGGCTGCTTTTATGCTACAACAGCGGAATTGAGTGGCTGTGACAAAGGACATGCAATCTGTGTTTTAGAAAATCACCCATTGTGGGTGATTCTGATGCATGCTAAAACTTCTATCTCTAGAGACGCTTGGAAACCGACAAAATATGGGAGACTATATTGTTCACTGTAGCCTAGAGAATGTGCACAAAACTTCGGGCCAGTGAATAATAGGGAGGCAAATCAAGAGTTCATCTCACATAAAGCCAGAATCCCGAAAGGCAATACCCTTTTACAAACAGTGAACTAAAATAAAACAAAAATTGAAGACACAAACGGTAAGGAAAATTGTCATTTTCAGCCTTGGCTATTCATGGGCTTGGGGTTTTTTTTGTTGTTTTCTTTTTTAAGGTTTTCTTGAAAATTAATAGCCACTGGCTACCATTCACATGGTTTAGTACCTGAATCTACACTATTTGCATAGTTTGTGTTGCTTATTTGTATTTTTAAAAGGATTCATTACAGGAGTGCTCATTGCCTGACAAAAGAGGACAAAAATCATCCCTTGAGAAAGGTACCCTTTAATCCAGGCATTAAAAGAAACCCCACAAATAGAGTGGCAGCAAATATAAACTCGTAATCTAAAATCACAGAGAACAACAGAAAATAAGCCAGCACTAGTGCAAGTCAATAGAAAAAAACGAACAATAGACCCCCATTCTCAAAGGCTTCAATATTAAATTTTCAAATACATAATACAAAATAAAAGTTTGATATATTCAAAGATATAAAAAAGTTATTTAAAACATATAAGAAAAAACTATCAAAAAATGAACAGATATATTTTTTAAAGAACTAAATAAAATTTTTAGAAATGAAAAATGTAAAGATGGAAATTAAAATAAGGCTTGCATAATATTGGTAATCAGCTAAGGGAAGGATTTGTGAACTGAAAGGTAGATCTGAGTAAAGTAAAAAGGAAGTTAAAAAAAAAAAAAACAATAGTCTTTTTTCTTTTGTATGGATAATTTCCAGGTGGAAGACTGAGAGGTTAAGACACATGGGATGTAGTATGAGACTTTTCCAACCTATCTATCTAGTCTTGCATAAGGAAAAATAGAATAGGAGACAGGAAATATTTAAAGAGATAATGGAGTTTCTATTTGTTTGTGGAGAAGAAAAAAATTTTGGAGAAGAATATCAAGGGCTCAGTTTTGGATGAGTTACTTTTGAGGTGCTTATTAGACATTCAAGTGAGTATGTTGAGTATGCAGTTGGATATAGGAGGTCAGTTCGAAAGAGAGGTTTATAGGTGGCATTTAAAACCATGAACCTATCTGTAATCATCATAACCCATTAGTTTAGCTAGAAAGAGTTCTCAGGACGGTGTCTTTGGGCACTCCAAGATTTGGAAGGCTGGAAGAGCAAGGGAATGAAGATGGAATAACCTGAAAGGTAGGAGGAAAAAGGAGGAAAACCTAGAGTGTGTTCTAGAATCAAGTGAAAACAAGCAAAATTAAGTAAGCTATTATTTAGAGACACACACGTATTTATAAAAAGGGAAAAAGAAAAAGGTAACAATTGGAAAACTACAGAGTGGTGGTTACCTTTGGGGGGAGCAGACAGTGGGTTGGGATTGCAGGACCACACAAAGGACTTCAAACTGAATCTGTAAATTCTCTTTTATAAGATGAAGGGTGGCTTCACCAGTATTTGTTTGATTAATCTGCTTCATAATGTATGTTTATGTAAAAAATTATTTTGTATCAAATATTCTATTTAAAGTTTAAAGGAAAAAGGTTGTATACCTTGTTTAAACTGATTATCAAGAATTGCTAAACCTAGATGCAAGGTTCCCTACCAGTTCGGTCGCGGAGGTTAGCTCTGTGTGCAGCAGAGTTTACACAATCCCATGTCTAAGCTGGTGGCAGAGGTGGGGCACACAGTAGTCTCACCCGTCTCTTCTCCTGTGCTGGGAGCATAGCATTGCACAACTTCCTGGTTTCTCTCCAACTATCATTGGGATTCTAAGCAGAACAGCTGTCCATGTGGCGCTGAGACAGCTGTGAGAATTCTTGTGGCATATCTGTCATGTCATTACCACAGGAATCAAAGGACCTCTACACTGTTTTGTAAAGCAGTGGGGGACCCTTTCATTATCACTTCATTTTTAATTACACAGATAAATCTGGTATCAAACCTCTTAGTAATACAGAGACTTGTCTGATAATGTGATTACCTATAGCTGAAATGAACAGTTAGGGTCAAGTCTATCTATTTCACTATATGAAAAAACCATAATTTATTTACCCATGCTACCATTTGTGGATTTTGGGTTGCTTTCTGTTTGGAGCATCATGCTTATAAAAATTAATTCCAGTTTCTTGATATATTTTGTAGTTACAAATGCAGCAATATAGCTTCCTCAGTCCCTGAAACACAACCATCTCCAGGAAAAAAAAAAAAAAAACTTCAGCAAACTAAAATAATCTCTCTAAGAACTCCAAATAGCATCCCCTTTTTTATGATTCTGCTTGGCTAATAAAGCTATGTATGGATGCCATTAGCCCAAGAAAAGAGAAACACCCAAAGGGCAAGTGTTTGTTTGGGCTCTTTTATTCACCTCATGATGGATAGATGTTTCTTGTACTTTTCCCACAGTTTGGCATCACTTGAGAGATCTGGAGATGAGAGGCATTAACATTGAGTGGCCTGGGAATGCACAGCTAGACAGGCTGATGGGCACTTACTGAGTTCCTTTCTCGAGCCTAAAATCTCCTAATGGGGTGGCTGTGGTCCTCTGTGTGTGTGTGTGTGTGTGTGTGTGTACACGCTCATGTGCTCACACGTAACATCCAATCATAAATGATACTCACTGAACTCAGTCTATTCAACCTTCTGTTCTTTCTTCTTTGGAGTTTTTAGTGATGAACATAATGGAAAATGAAAAATTAGTGCCTGAAGAAGGGCTTTTTAAAAAGAAGTGTTATTTAAAAAAAAAAAAAGATGCTGCCTTGATGATCTTGGGTGGCTAATGACAAGAGTAATTTTTATAAATAATGCTAAAATAAATGGAAAAATCTCAGCAAGCTTGGTTTTGTTGATAGAAATGATTCTACTGTATTTTAAAGCAACATCTTGCAACTGAGTCACTTATGGGCTTAAGTGAAAAAAAAAGACATCTTGATAATTGGATTTCAATAGAGGTTTTATTAATGTTTCTTTGATTCCAAATCAAAAGTTGGATTACTATACTGGATGTGGAGAGACAAATACCAGGAAGCACCCT